GTATCATTGTTGTTGTTGTTGCTGTTATTGTTATTAATGCCTTTTATTACTTTCCACACCATCTGAACAGCCATCCTTATCGTCATGATATATCATTTTCTCTTCTCCAGTGCTGCTCCTGTTGTCTGGTTTGATCCTGTACCCTATAGGCTTCAGCTCGCCGTTCTTCTCCTACTACTGCGACTCATCCAAAGCCTTTTGCACCGGCCACTGCGCAATGGGCTGGAGCTACGTCACAGCTGTCATGGCGGCCGCCCTGTCCATTTTCTGCCCCGTCATGTCCAACTTCGCGGAAGCACAGCAGCGGAACCGGAAGCCGGGACACGCCCCCACAGGCTTGACTTTGTCCTGATATGTGGTGCAATATTTTTTGTACATATTAATAATTCTTGTCCCGTTTTTGGTGTGTTTTTTTTTACATTGCGTTAGTGTGTAATTACTATCTATTTTTAATTTGTTTCTTTTCCCCAAGGTGCAGTAATGTGCTGTGATTTTTTAGGTATGTACAAAAAACGAAACACGGCACTTCGGTTGTTCATTGTTACTTCCCAGTGTTCATAGATCGACTAGAATTGATTTGAATTATTTAAACTGAAACCAGTTTTTCCCTTCTTTCTTTCTTTCTTTCTTTTTTGTTGTTGTAAACCTTTTCTGTAAATAAGATTTGGAAAAAAATACCGTGTTCCCGTTGAAAAGAGAACATGCAATGCAAATCTAGTCAAAGTAAGCCTCAATTATAATTTATGATGAATTAATACTTCTTCTTGTGAAAGATATATTATGTGTAAAATGTGGCTCAACGGTATTTTTTTAAAGATACCCTATGTTTAAACTCCAAATTTATGGTAACATGTATTCGTTTTGTATTTATTTTCATTTTGTGTTAATATATTCCTCCAAATGTATCTTATTTTTAAAATTGATCCATAGGAGACAAAAAAAAAAGAATGCCTGCGAGTGTAGCGCACGTGAGATGGAGAGGGAGAGAGAGAGAGATAGAGAGAGAGGGAGAGAAAGAGAGAGAAAGAGAGAGAGGGAGAGA